CCTGATATATATATTTTTAAATTCATTGATTCATCCCTTTATCCAACAGCTGTGGTTTGGGCACCTGACGTGCGCCAGGTGCTGGGGGACGTGACCCAGGCCTGACCCACGGTTTTCAGCCAGGGAGACAGACACAGCAGGCGCCACACATCTGTTTCCCCGCCGGAGCAACAGCTCCTGAGCCTGGGGCAGGGTGGTGGTCATGTCCACGTCCCAGCATCTTGCACTGCAGAGGGGTTCAGTGAGCGCTGGGTGAGAGGGAAGCCCACCCCTGTGTTAGGTTCCACGGCTTGCACTCCATTCTTTTCTCGACTTTGTGTACATCCCTTGGATTTCTGCGCATGGGATTTACCGTCCGAGTGAAAAGAGGGACCGAATCCAGTGGTGCTGAGAGTTGGCATAAGCCCAGCAGGTAGTTAGAAGCCAGAGTGAGGAATGTTCCAGAAGGAAGTGGAGCCAGCATTTGACTGAAAGGAAGGAGGAGGCGGTGAGGTGGAGGAGAGGGGGAAGGCACCAGGCAAGGGCCGCGGCGTGAGTGGAGGTTTGGAATTAAGTTGTCCTGGGCAATGTAGTAAAACACCTGGTGTGTGTAGAGATGGACACTTCGCAAAACCCAGTCACTGGCCGCGCCTTGTCCGAGTCCTGAGAGGTCTGAATGCGGTTATTGTTCTCCTTCTCCCTCTTATAGGTGATGAAAAATAACAGCAATGGTCTCTTACATGTTAGATGCTTTGCACATATTATTTCATTTATTCCTTGACCTTTGAGATATAGTTATTATGGCCCCCACATGGCGGAAACTGAGGCCCCTCAATACAAGAGAGTTACCAACAGACAGAGTTAGAAGCCACAGAGCCAAGACCCACACTGTGCTCTCTCCACACCATGTGGCAGCAAGCTTTCTTCCTTCTTTTCCTCCCATCTCCACCCGCCCCCTTCATTTATTCAGCAAGCGATTCTCAAAAGAATGGATAAGTGATGATTGTGGGAACGTGAGGTGACGTAGGGCTGTAAAGATAGTCTGGGCCAGACCATGGAAGGCCTTGACTGCCACGGCACACGCCTGGCCATTTTCCCTTTAGCAACCGTGGTGACCCCACGACCTCCCCCCTCAGTCCCCAAATAAAACGATGATCTAAGTAAAATATTGTACTTGGTATGCAAATACAGCTTTATGTCCTCTAGCCAGCTTCCAAGCAGATTACTGCTCCTGAACTCCTCTTGGGTAGAAAATCCTGGAGCCACTCCCAGTGGGCAGCGGGGAACTCCTTACTATTCATGAGCAAGGGGTTTGTGGGTCCCAGGCTACAGGAAGCGTCAGTCCACCAAGATGGTCCTTTAGGAAGATGATGTCCAAGGGTTGAATAGACAGGGGCAAAGGTCCGGAGGGCATGGGTCCCCCAGAATCTGGGCATCATGTGAATATGCCCTGTCCTCCTCAGCTTCTATTAGCAGTGCTGTCACTGCTCCCTTCCTGAGGACAGCCAGACCCTTTTACCATCCATCTACCTCTTTCTACTGTCCTTCGTCCCATGCCTCCATCCTGTATCACCAATGCACTAGCCCCGTGGTCGGCAAACCGCGGCTCGCAAGCCACGTGCGGCTCTTTGGCCCCATGAGTGTGGCTCTTCCACAAAATACCACGTGCGGGCGCGCACATACAGTGCGATTGAAATTTCGTGGCCCATGCACAGAAGCGGTTTGCCGACCACTGCACTAGCCCATTGTCTCTCCAGTACCCCTTGCCCAGGCTCCCCTGACTCAGTGCCTGCACCCACCCCTACCTTCCCTCATCCTCTTCTGCTTCCAGCTCCCTCTGACCCCTTTTCTCACTCATCATAGGTCATCTTGTCTTGGATCTGGCCCAGGCCCGGTCCACACTGGTGCTGCCCACCGGCCTCATCACCCCGGCCGGCACCATGACAGTGACCCTGTGCAGCAGCCGGGAACTGCCCTCAAGGCCTGATGGGGTGCTGCATGTGGCTCTGCCCTCCGTGCTCACCCCACTGGCCCCGCCAGGTCCGCCGGGCCCCCCCAGACCTCCGGGGCTCTGTGACGACAGGTTGGGCCTATGGTGATTCTCTTCGTCCCTCCCTCGGCTTCTCTGGGTCTAGTGCGGGTGAGGGGGCTTTGGCAGGGTGCCCCTGGGCAATGGGCAGGGTGGAGACAGGCTGGGGCCAGTCAGCCAGAGGGGCTAGGGGCCTTTGTAGTGGCCACGTGACCCTCCTCATGCTCCCTTCCAGCCCTACCAGCTGCTTTGGGGTGGGCAGCCCTCAGGAGGAAGGTCTGGCCTGGGAAGAGCCAGCTGCCCCTCCGGACGTGTTCTTAGGCCCTGCCCGCTGCCCTGCCCCGTACACCTTCTCCTTCGAGATGCTGGTGACTGGGCCATGCCTGCTGGCAGGTGGGTGCCCCTCTCAGCGCAGCTGACTGGGAAATAATTCAAGGCTCAGGGATGGGAGGAACACAGAACAAAAAGGAGAGAGGGACCTAAGACAAGCATCCTCTGGACACTACTATACAAGCCCCCCCCCCCCCC